TTAAATTATTTATTCTAATTTATTATACATGATGGAAGAATGCAATTCATGAAGATACGAATGGTGTGAAAATACTTTGTGTACAATCAGTGACTTGAAAAATTGTGCTCTATATGGATTAATGCATTTTTGACTTGTATTATTTTCATAACGGGTTTCCCATTGTAAGTTGAAAACGTTGTAAGTCAAAATAGGTTTCCCATTGTAAGTAGAGCAGCATCTGTAATTTTTAAAATGGAAAATGACAAGGGTTGGCAAATATGTGGAGAAATTGGAGCCCTCATACACTATTGGTGGGAATGTAAAATAGTAGACTCCTGTGGAAAACAGTTTGGTGGTTCTCAATAAGCTAAACATAAAATACTGTGGTCCAACAATCCTACCTCTAGGTATATATCCAGGAGTATTGAAATTGTGTGTTCCAATAAAATTAGTACAGGAATATTCAGAGTAGCATAATTCATAATAGCCAAAAGTTAGAAATAACCTGAATTTCTACTCAATGATGAATGAATAAACATATTTGGTATATCCATAAAATGGGACAATTCGTAGCCATGAAAACAAATGAATACTGTATGCTTCAATGTGGATGAATGATCCTGAAACACATTATCCTAAGTGAAAGAAGCCATGTGCAAAAGGCTACCATTGCACAGTTCTATTACATAAAATATTCAAAACAGGTAAATCTATCCAGGTAGAAAGCAAATCATTGGTGATCCAGGGGCTGGTGGGAATAGGAATGGTGAGAGACTGATAATGGGTTTGGGATTTCCTTTTTAGAATACTGAAGATGTTCTGAAACAAGATAGTGCTGACAAACGTGTAGAGTGAACTACTAAATGCCACCAAACCAGACACTGAAAAGTAGTCACAGTGATGAACACTGTGTCATTCGTTTTTCACTCTAACTAAAAACTGTAAGTGTATGTTAGTCACTGGCACAAAGTAAGTGCTTTATTCGTGTTGGCTCTTGTCATTCAGAACCTAACTACCTACAGAAACTAATTTATTGTATCCAAATCTGGGGGATAAACTGCTAGGCTCTGATTGTGCACCCCCAAATCCATCCACTGAAATTCATTAGCTACTTGGATAGCAGGGCCTTTAAGAGAGATTAACTCACGAGGGCTCTGGGTTAGGGACTTTATAGCAGGACTTGAGGAACTGGGTTTGTTTCTTTTCACCATGTGAGGACACAGCACTCCTCCCCTCTGGAGGAAGAGCCACAAGGCAACACCTTGAAGCAGACAACAACTCTCACCACACACCAGTCCCATCACACCTTGATCTTAGACTTCTCAGCTTCCAGAACCATGAGTGATAAATTTCTATTGCTTATAAATTACCCAGGCTCAGGTATTTTGTTATACCAACACAAACAGACTCAGCCATGAGCATATCAAAGTGTATTAAATATCTATTTATAGAACTTTGTCAAACTATAAACAAAGGCTGCACCTACTTTTCCAGTGTTTCCATACAATAATTTGGGTTACAAAGAAATTTTTAATAAATAACCCAAAGTAGAAATCACATAGACAGTAGAATCGAATCCATAGTACAATAAATAAAATGAGAAATTCATGTGAAAAAAAAAGTTAAGAAAAAAAATCGTTAAAGGGAAAAAAATTTAAACCCTGCAATACCTTAGAAAACTAATATTGATTGCAGCACAATATTGTAAAGTGGCCATGTAATTTAAATCAGAATAGGAGGGATAGTTCAATATTAAAATATCCACTGATGGAACTCATAAGATATTAAAGAAGACATAGTGACACTGATAGAGGCTAATATAAACACAAAGCTAAGAGATATTCTTGTAGAAAATAAATCAAAAGCTTCGAAAGAGTTTTTAATATAGTGGGGATAAAAGATTCTCTCTCTCTCTCTCTCTCTGTCTCTCGGTAGCTGTCAGGAACTTTATTGTTAACATTAATTATGCCATTGGACCATAGGATTGAGCATTTGACGTTTCAACTACGATACAGAATAAGTAGTAATATTGTTATTTTATAGAACTCAATATCTTTCCTGATTAAATTTCTTACTTTAGGGCAATCTTGGTATATAATAAAGGTTACCTACTGAAAATAAGACGAAATTGATCCCCAGCACCACACACACACACACACACACACACAGTAAGAGACCTAACTAATGGTAGGACATTCATATTCCAGACAGGACAAGGATGACTAACATCATCATCATGATATCATTATATAACAGTTTTAGGAGTTTTAACAACTGTGACATAAGAAAAGAAGTGGCAATAAATATTTAAATGGAAGAAACACATTATCATCTTTATGAAGAACATGATTGTCTAGTTGGGAAACTGAAAAGAAACTGCTATTATAACAAATAAAGTTAGTTATGAGCATACACGGAGTAATGGATTCATCTTGTGTCATCAACAACCAGGTTGAAAAGATAAAGAAGATGTTTTAATTAAGACAATAACAAAATGGATGAAATAAATCTCAAAAACGAAAATACATAAAATTATCTGAAGACAGTGTCAAACTCTTCAGAGGACATCTAGGAAGACATGACTCTGGTAAGACGTGCTCCTGATTTGAAGACTTAAATCGTGATAATTTTATTATGATAATTAATTCCTTGAAGTCTTTTCTATCCTGATAACACTGGACCAACCATGTGTCTAAAGAATAACTTTCCCAAATGATTCTGAAACTGGAGAAATAGAGAACCTAGTTTCTAGAGAGAGCTGGCTGGCCCATGGCACACAGGTCCCCCTTTCACAGTAAGAGAAAACTCTGGGTGAACCTACAACCCAGGGAGGGTCAAAGAGGTTCCCAGGACAATAAGCACCCCATGTGGAGAGAAGCAGAGAGAGGGGAGCCTGGCATTCACCACCAGCTTTCCGCTATCCCTGGAAGGAGGGATGACTGGAAGCAGGAATGAGCCCTTGAAAAGACAGCATGCTGACTGCAACTCCCTCAGTTGCTGATGGATTGCCTTCACTTTCCTCTTCCAGGATCTGAGCTGGCCCTGGCTAGACTTACCTCACTCTAAGCTGACCCTGATGGATCCTGTTTTGAAGTTTTTAATATTGTATCCAGTATTTAAAAAATCAGTTTTGGGTTTCTGCATGATTGCATTAAAACATCAATTCCTTATTAATCTTTTGGTTTCCCTTTGAATTCGGGACCCTGAGTGAGCACAACACATCTCCACCTGGTCCCAGTTCTGACTGCTACACTCTGAATGAGTGCATCCAAGTGCCCGCATGTTAAATGTTAAAAAGCGACAGAGTTGTGGTTTACTTTCACTCATAGTCAAGGAAATCAAAAATTGAATTGCAAGCACACACGTCTTTCACAATTTGTCAAAAGAACACGGAGGTGGACACTCTCATGATTCACTGATGGGTGTCTAAGTGAGGATGATTTTTTTTTTTTAGAAATAAATTTGGTAGTAATCATCAAACCCTGTAAAATGTGCAGACTCTGATGAAGAAAAAGGAGTCACCCAATGTGCCCATCCCCCTGTTGTTTAAAAGACAGTGAAGTAGAAACAAATATTCAAAAGCAAAGTCAACTTGTTTTGTGTGTGAGAGGTCATACTGCTAAAGTTCTAAGGGAAATATATGCCTGCCATGACCTTCACCCACCCTTAAAGGAATGTCTAAAGAATGTGTTTGACTCACTGGCTCATGCAGGAGAACTCACAGTTATTCACTTATCTCAAAGCTATCACCCCCTCCCTTCAGGATGTGGCCAATCCTTGAGGAGATCACTAGGTCATGCAGATTGTTAGAGCTGGGCTTTCTTTACTCTAATTTGTACTTAAGGAACCCCACTAGGGAATTAGCCTTTGGAGTCTCACTGCCAAGAGGATGTTCTGCCCTGCACTTCCTAATTAAGACCCTGAATAGCTGCCCTGGGACTCCCCACGCACATGATCAGGTGTTTCTCCTCCTGTTCTGTGGATACCACCCCCCACCCCTGCTTCTTCTCTTCTCCGCACTCACCTATCACTTTTACTATTGCTCTTGCTTCCATATTATTACTAAGATAAATGCCATCTTGTATAAAGAGGATGTCTTTATTGTCTATCCAATCCGACCTGCCAAATTCAGCAGCTGCACACATTCATAATGCTTTAATGTTACAGCGGTACAGCCATTAAAATGTTCTACATGTGTATTTTGTAATATTGAAAAATTGTTGCATGAAGAAAAGGCAGGTTTCAGAGTACTACAAAGAGTAATTGTAAGTACACATTTATAAACATGTAGGAAAAAGTGTCTGAGAAAGTCGTACCATAATATCAACAGGGCTTATTGCTAGCTAGTATACCAAATAATTGTCATCCTCTTTTGGAGAAGGCTGTTGGTTAAGCACGAGGGTTCTCCAGTCAGTCTAGGTTTGTATTCCAGTTTCACTGTTCACTGGCTCTGTGACCTTACACAAGTTTTTTTAAAAAAACTTTTTGAACTTCTGTTTTTTGTTTTTTCTTTATTGTGTTTTCATCTGTGCAAATGGGGGCATAGCCACTTTATTGAGTTACTGTCAGGATAAAATGAAATAATTCATGTAAAAAGGCTTAGCATGGCACCTGGTAGAACTACTGATATCTGTAAATTCTCATTTTTCCAAGACAGATATATGAAATCTTAAGATATAGGTCATAACCCTTCCCAAACAAAAGCAATAAAATCAAATTTCTTCATGTCTGATGTTTGTGATGTTGAGAACTCATTTTCTCTACCACTGGATGCTTTTTTTTCTTCTTCTTCTTCTTCTTTTTTTAATCACTGGATACATAGTGCCTAAGGTCCCCGGTGGGTTCACAAGTAAAAATGGAAGATCTGCAATTTCTACCTGCTTGAAAACTGTTAAGAAACCTTGACCAGCCGAGTTTATAGGAGGCTGATAGTTAAAAGGCCTAGTGTTCCACATGAAATTTTAAAGATGTGGATATGATACAAAGGCTGGAATTTTATGTAAAAATATAGGTCCCACCTGTGCTTGTTTGTAGGGAATGAGCTGGAGAAACTTCGGTTGCCTGTATAGCACTGGTACTTTTTAAAGAATAACCTGGAAAGATGAGGTGGAGAAATCACTTAAAATGTACTTCCCTGAAGCTACAGAATGGGGGAGAATACCATCCAACTATTCACTTGATAGGGGATTAATATCTAGAATATATAAGGAACTCAACAGATATAACAACAACAATAACAACAACAACAACAACAACAAAACCCAGTTGTCCATTTTCAAATTGAACTGGAAGAAACTGGAAAACACCTTTAACTTCATTGTCCCCCAGGCTGACTGCCAGGGATCTAAGCGTTTCTTCCCAGGGTCAATGAATCTTTCTTGTTTTATCTGGTTAATTGCTTACATGTAGTGACGCCCTCAGAGGGCTGCACACACCTTGGAGAGAAACTCAGCTCTTCTACTTTGGAATCTCAAAACAAAGTGGTGAATTTGACTCTGGCCTAAAGCATCAAAAGAGACAAAGTCACAGAGATGACCCTTTGCACCGGGGCCAGCATGGTGGTGGGAGATTGAGGGAAGGGTGGATGATGTCTTATGCTTTGTCGATTCAGAATGCCAGGGGGGTCATTCACTGCTGAGGCAGGCTGGACTGGAACACTGCCTGATTCCTGGGATGTGGTAGAAGTTTCTTGGATAATAATATGTCCTGATAGTCTTTGTTACTGGAGGTGAGGCTTGGTAATGAATAATAGAAACAAGTCCTACAAAAACTGAAACTGGGGAAACTATTAGCAATGTGTTTTCTATGTTCATTGTCACTGCGCTCGATGATATAGACCTTTTAGCAAGCAGAAATTGTTTCAATTTATTTTTTAAAATATACAAAATAGGGGCTGGGGATATGGCTCAGTGGTTGAGTGCCCCAGTTCAATCCCTGTGGTATCCCTCCCTGCCCCCCCCCAAAAAAAAAGAGAAAAAAGTTACCTGCAATACCATCACCTAGAGATCACTTTGGAGGATTTCTTTTCAATATTTTAGTTTTAGCTCATTTATCAGAAAACTGCACAAAGTACATTTTAAAGATATGAATATGATAACAAAGGCTAAAATTTTATGTAAAAATATAGGTCCCACCTGTTCTTGCTTGTAGGGAATGAGTTGAAGAAACTTCGGTTGTAAGTGCAGCATTGGCACTTGTTGTTAAAAAGTAACCTGTAAAGATGAGGTGGAGAAATCACTTAAAGCTACAGAATGGGGGAGAATACCGTCTAACTCTTCACTTGATAGAGGATTAATATCCAGAATATATAAGAAACTCAACAGACTTAACAAGAACAACAACAACAACAAACCCAGTAGTCCAAATAAAAATGTGAAAATGATCCAAAATGTATTTCTTCTTTTCAGAAAAATGGCCAACAAGCATATGAAAGAATGCTCACTCTCATTACCAATCAGGGAAATTCAAATTAAAACCCAACATATCATCTCACCCCGGTTAGAATGGCTATTTAAATAACATAAATGCTGGAAAGGATGTGGCAAAAAGTAACTCCTTATACATTGTTGGGAATGTAAATGGATACAGCCAGTATAAAGAACAGTATAAGTTCCTTAAAAAACTAAAGCTAGATCCACCATGTATGTGATCCAGCAATCCCACTGCTGGGTATACATCTAAAGGAAATGAAGTCAGCATGCCAAAGAGATACCTCAACGCACATGTTTATTGTAGCCCTCCTCACAGTAGCTGAGATATGGAATCAGCCTGGATGCCCATCAAGAGATGAATGGATAAAGAAAACATGGTAGTGTACATAACAGAGTACTATTCAGCCATGCACTCATATTTGCTCCCTAGTCCATCGTTATTAGCAAAACCAATATCTGTGTTAATAACATATATATTATTAACACTTGTTAATTATGATAATTACTGTAGATAATATGCAGTGAGTAAATAGGACTTGACCTCATATGAAGCACTGGAGTTAAGTGCACTACACTAAATACTTTGATCAATCCCTCTTCTATTGCTGTGAGGCAGGTACCAACATTGCCAGCATTTTACAGAGGAGGATGTTGAGGCAAAGAGGGGTAAGTATTGTGCCTTAAGGTTTCCCAATTCAAATGGGGAAGCAGATCTGAATGCAGTTCTGTCTGTGCTCTTACTCTCTTTCATCCCCTAGGATATCTTAGACGATGCTGACTCTCTTCCCTGTGTCTACAAAAGATCCTTAATATTTACAGGTCACGGCAATGTCTATGTGCCAATGGGCTAAAAAGACTTCAAGTAACTGGCTGCTCCTTATTCACAAGCTGAGTGCTAGTATTTCCAACATAGATACACTGAATTTGAACAGACATTACCTATAATGTCCTCAGATAGAGGCCCCAAATAAGGTTAATTTAATAGAATTTAATAATACTTCCATGCAATTTCCTTATTTTAATGAATAGATTTAGATTTCTCACCAAACTACATAACACTTAAGTCAATAAAAATTTTGTATTTTGTTTTCATTTTTCCTGCATCAGACCTCAATAAACAGATCCACAGAGAGAGGGAATGACTTCCCTGTGGTTTCAGAGTTTAAGCCTGTGGCTTGTCCATTTTTTGGTAGGAGAAGTAGGAAATTACACTTTCTAAAAACAGAGAACCATGTGGTGACCATAATTTCCGTTAATAACTCTTTGATTTGGAAATGAATCTCTTCATAACTCAAACCAAGCCACAAATTTATTCACACAAAGGTATTTCTCATATCTGATAAAATGCTTTTCATTCTAGCAAGAATTGAAGAAAGCTTTTCCTATCTGAAAAATACTGAATCAGCACCCCAGTACTGGGTTCCCTTATGCCACTGCCCCACATGGTCAGTTGAATCCCAATAAAATCCATCTACCAGAACGGAATCTGAGCTACTATTCACTTAAACTTATTTAAGTAAGAGAACTAAAATGGGGGCATCTCACATTTAATCCATGAGCCATGTCCAAAAAAGCATCAAGCTAAAACAAAAGTCTCTTACCTGACAATAGTAATCCAACTGTTATTCTCTCATACATACTGGAATTATGAACAGGCTTGCAAAGTCAGAGCAAGAAAACCACCAATGAGGGCGGAAAGTATCAGCATCTGGCCCCACCTAGATTCTGTTATCTTTCCTGCTTACCATCCTGAGGCCACCATCTGTTGATAGGTAGTGGGTGGCATTTTAAATAGTGCATAGTTGTTAAGTGCCTGTTAATAAAGATACACAAATATCTGCTTAACTGTAACTATAAAAGTGGTAAGTAAAATCTTCAAAAAACTGGCTGCTATGTGTTAAACTTACTTTGCATAAGTTAAGTGGGCATGGTGAATTAGTCACCAAAACCTACTCAATTGGACAAAGGATCAGACTGAAGAGGCCGGAGGTCAGAGTACCGGCCAGGCTATTGTGAAATTATGAATCTCCTCATTTATATGTGGGGATCCTTGAGGTCCAAGATGAAGTTATTTCTTATATGTGAAATAAGTCGTTTGAGAACTTTATTTACCATTTGAGTGCTCTGAGGTTTAAAAAACTTATGAAACTCATGACAGGACAAATAATAATAAAAGAAACACAAGAGAAATGAATTAATACGGAGACAATACATGCAAATGCTCAAAACCCAAAACAGACAAACTGAAAACCTTGTTGTAAAGCACATTAAATCACAGGTGTGGAAATCTTAAGAAGATCATTGTTAAAGGAAGAGAGAATAAAAAAGTATAGATCATAGGCAGCTCCTATGTGAGCATAGGGCCCAGGACAGCAGTGGACGCTCTGCTGGAGGTCCCCTGGAGGACCAACCGACTCTCAATAACCTTGGTTTAACACAGGTTTGTAGCCTCCTTCCAGTGGGCATGTTGGCTCTGCCTGGCTGGACTGAAGAAAGGCAAACCCTGCTGGGTTCTCTGTGGAAATTAGAGGTCAGACCCACAACAGGCACTGGGGTGTGGACTAGAGCTGCACAGTGACCTCTAGTGGCATAGTTGCATAATGCAAGGGAAAATGTGTGTCCTGAAAAGACACAAGAAAAAATTCAGGTCAGATGACACTTTTCACTTTCAGACATCTCCCCAGACTCCTTTATATTCTTGCAAAAACACATGTTCGGGATTATCATAAAATCCTGCCTATAAAATATATCATTCAAATGTGTTAGACAATTTAGAGAATTTTCAATCTGCCTCAAAACCAGCAAATACTTGTGAAACATTGAATCAAATACGATAATCACATAAAAATTTCTTGGTACTATATGTCCTCAGGATATTTTTTTCCTTATTGTCATTGGATGAGTCACTGTTATGACATGGTCAAACAGAAAGAGGAGAATATCATACCAGAAAATCAACTTGGATGGACCAACACAGAATAATATCTCACCTGTTTCATGACCAACCATTCATTTTTTAAAATATTAGTTTTTAGTTGTTGATGGTCCTTTATTTTATTTTGCTTATTTTTATGTGGTGCTGGGAATCGAACGCAGTACCTCACGTGTACAAGGCAAGTGTTCTACCGCCAAGATATAACTCCAGGCCCCCAACCATTCATTTTTGCCTATACTTATTTCCTAACTATTTCAGGCTCAGACCCAGGTCATTCCTGAAGACGATTGTCTGTTAATCTGATCTGCCACTGGAGAAATCTGCTTTTTATTTTTGTGTGAAGGACCCAGAAACAAGGGAGGAGTAGGAAAGTTGAGTCATAATGGTTTTCATTAACAGCCTCCTTGGTACTTCATCACCTTAGGAATGTCCATCTTATCTTTAGGAATGTCCATCTTGCTATGCCAGAGTGGTCTAATTACTTCCTTTGAGCTTCTTTGTTGGCATATCATTTAAGTTTTAAAATATATATAAGGTTAGGACTGGGATTGTAGCTCAGTAGTGGAACACTTACTTGCCTCACACTTGTGAGGCACTGGGTTGGTTTGATCTTTAGCTGAAAGGACACTCTCAGAGTCCACTCAAAGTCCAAAGGAACAGCCTTGTCGGTTTGTCTCCTTCTACTGACTATAAACCTCTTGCGTGAGATTCCGGTGTGTGGACTGGTCTTTGGACTTTGTATCTACTCTGCAAGTGTCCTTCCACTAGTACCACATAAAAATAAATAAATAAAATAAAGGTATTGTGTCCATCTACAAATATATATATATATATAGTTAGACAAATCTGACACTCAAAACAACCCTGTTAAAGAGGTAGAACAGATATTATCATTCATTCATATATATATTTATATATGAATATATATGTATATATATACATATATGTATGTGTGTGTGTATATATATATATATATATATATATATATATATATATATGAATAAGTTGCTGTGGCAGAGCAGCAAGGACTATAATTCAAAGCATAAAGTAGACCACCTTCTCTCCCTGAATGGTTCAGGTTGCTCTATCATGGTCCACGTTGACAAAAAGGAAACTGAACTTAATAAAGTCCTGCCACACTTGGTCATTTGGTAAGTCCCCCGGTGTGCACATTGAGACTCTTGATTCCACACATCTGGTTCTTCTTTTTGGGAACACTTAGTCCCTCTTTCTAGGGATGTCTGCAGTGCCACTGGTATAGAAGTCACAGTTAAGCATGGCTCGAGAACGTAGGGATATTTACTCCCTTTTGATCCGTTCTAGGTTCTCATCTGTTCCTTGGCCTTGGGAATTCCCTCTGGTTGTTTGTTTGGTTTGTATTGTTACTGCCCCTTTTAAGACATGGCCAGCACTGTATTGATTCTATGTGTATTCTTGGGAAAGATCTTGACTGTCAAGTTAAAGGTTCCCATCTGTCAGTCATGGTTTTGGGGCTCCTCTCTGGTTGTCTCTCTCTCTGTTTCTTTTCGTGCAATCTTGAAATAAGAATCTGCCAGCAGTAAAGTGAGTTGAAGAGAGGGCCATCTATAGGTATCAGCCTGTCTAAGATAATGTGCTACTGTAGTGATCTGGCTTTTGAATAGCTTTCTGGAGTATTGTACCATCTTGCAGTTGGAGTTGGTCTGTCAAAGGTAAAGTAAGTGGAAGAAATTTGTCTGTGTGGGTCTCTCTGTTTTAAAGGTTCCCATCTGTCAGCCCTGGTTTTGGTGGTCCTCTCTTGTCTGGGTTCTTGTCGGTTACTGGCCCTTTGAGACGTGGGCCATGCTGCATTGATCTTACCAGTAGTCTGTTGAACAGAGAGATCTTGGCTGCCTGGGCCACCTACAGGGATAAGTCTAAGAGAAGGAGGGTTTACTGCAACACAATATGGTCTTTAAATGTCGTTGTTTTTTTTTTTTTCTGGATTATTATACAATCTTGACATTGAAATTTGTCTGTCTGGGGCAAAGTATATGAAGGAGATTCTGTATGTACAGGCATTGATGCAGTTGCATGATAAGGGGTCTGAACCATCAGGAACTAAGTTGAAGGTGCCAAAAGGCACTACTTATGGGGTAAGGAGAGCAGGACACCTGAAGAAACGTTTAAAAAGATTTAACTATTTTAAATCCAGAGCTGGCTCTCCCAGCACTGTTTCTAAGCCTTGCCTGAGGCAACCCCAGATCATCTCACTGTGAGTCAAGGACTTGAGTCCTAAACTGGGGGGAAAATATCCCAGAATAGCTGCCTGGGCCTAGAAAACTGGTCAAAGAGAACCTGGCCTCTGCCCTGCTTTCCAGCCCCTTTTGCCCATGGAAGGTGGAGGCTGTGGCCACAAAGGATGTGCTAGTAGGTTTCAGCACTGTTAGTTTATGACCTGGGGTCAGGAATAGTCTCCCCTTTTAAGATCTCATAGGATACCCCATTTGGCCAGGGGTATTCATTATTGGGGCGAAGCTATAACAGTGTCCCATCAAACTAAATGCCTGGGGAGACTGGCCGAATAAATAACTGCACCCAGAAAAGGCAAAAGGCAGAAATTAAGGCCTTTGCAGAAGGATCTTTAAAGAAACCTTAAAGAAAAGGATGGAAAGGCCTCCTCCGTTGCATTATCAATATGCCTAATATAAGAAAAAGCCCCCAAAGGAACCTCAGGGCACAATCGACAGTGGGGAACTCACTTAAGTTGATGGCATTGTGAAAATGATAAGGCAAACAGGCCAGGCTTAAAAATATTCTATACTCCAGCCAACCCCTTGAATGCCACCTGAGAGAGAAAAGATGAAGACACAGTTTATGTATATTCCAGATTGTTTGATTCCTCTCCTGGGATGAAATTTGTTGGGGAAATTAGATTCACAGGTCACATTTGTAAGGATTGTTTCAGAATATAAATTTAAGAAAGGATCCAAAACTAGAAAAGATAAAAGAAGGTTATAGGTATATAAATACATTTTAGTATGGAAAATTATAAGGTCAAAGAAATATTTCTGGATGAGAAAGTATTTTGTCTGGTAAAGTATTCTTGGGCTAAAGTTCAAGCTAAAGTACAAAGATGTGAAACAAAAACAAGGTGTGAAAGAAGCAAATTGTAGAAGGTTTGTCCAAGGTAAATCTCAAAAACTTTGTGTTTGTGATTCAATTGGCTGTAATTAGCACAGTCAAAATTATTTGAACTTTAATGTACTGATATAAAACAAAGCCTGAAACATTGATCTGCTCTTATTTATCAAGATAATTCTCTTGTATATGTTACATTTTATTACTTGGGGAAACTAAGTCTTAAAGGAATTAGGGTTATACCTGTTTTAAAGTAATAAATTATTCCTTTGTAACTGGTTAAACAAACAACTGTTACTTAAGTTATAACAATATAGTTGACACTCTAAGTATATGTGAAAATGTGTATGTATGCATCTGAGAACTGTATCAGTCTAAGCCTTGTCTAAGTGTTATATAAAAGTTTATAAAACAAAAGCTTATGTAAGTTTACAGTCAAGATAACCAATAGCTGCACTCTTTTATACATTGCATCTATATAGAAGGGCCACACTGTCATTTGAAGACCTTTTATATCTGTTTGCTTTGACTAAGTCAATTTCTGATCATTAACACTGTTTCCTAATGTATAAAAGATTTAAGGCTATCCTTTGATTTTCATTAACCCATGCAGACTTGTGATTATTTATACCATACACTCTGGATTCTAATTTGTACTTTAAATATTAAACTTATTTAAATAAAAAGCTTAGACAAGCACTTTGCCAATTTGGTGTTCTCCAAAAGTATCTGTAGC